GGAGGCGTAGGAGAAGCGCTTGACTGGAGCGCAGGGAGGCTGCATTTCCTGGTTCCCAGTTCAGCCCCTCGAGGCTCCAGTCCAAGGAACTGCCTCCCCGCCCGCCCGCCTGCCTGCCTGCCTGCCTTCGGAGCGCCCAGGCGGCCGCGCAAGGGAGGGCCGGCCGAGAAGCTGCCGGAGGAGGAGGAAGGGGAGGAGGAAGAGGCTGCCTGGTTGGATGCCTTCCTCGGGAGCGCGCAGAGCAGGGGCGGGCCGAGGCCGGACTACAGCTCCCATCATCCCCTCAGCCGGCAGAGGCAGCCGAAAGCCAGTGCCCTCTACTCAAGAGTGGGAATCGGCGTGATCTCCGAGGAGAGCGAGCGGAGGAGGAGGAGGAGGAAGGGGGCGCGGAACTCCCTGCCACCGGAGATGGGGAGGACCAGGGGGATTGGTCCCCATCGGGGATGCCTCTCTGCGCGTCTGGGACCCCTTGGGGGAGTTGAGCCGCTTCCTCCACTCGGGGGCCCCCCGGACTTGCCTGGTGGGGCGAAGCGCGCGGGAGGTCCCTGCGGGGGGGGGTTGTGCAAGCGACCCTACAACGAGGGGGGGCCCTCTGGACGCCCACCCGCCTCCGTTCGCAGTATGCCAGGCGGGCTACACTGCAGGGCTGGCGTGAGGCCCCAGTCCAGCCGCAGCGCCCGCCTCCTGAACTGCTGGACAGCTCTGTGGGCAGTTCGAGCCCCCACCACCCCCCACTGGACAGGGGCTGGGCTCCATGGTCCCTAGCCCCGCGGTTCGGATGATGGGGAGGACTGTAATGGGCACAGCTGCATTCAATATTTGCATCGTCAGGACAATTTTGGAGGGGGGGACTCAACTCGGAATCTCGCGGCACAGAGTGAGTGTGTGCTTGGTCACTCTTCTCTTTCTTTTCTCTGTGATCCCCAGGCCCGTAGAGAAGCGGAGTATAGAACGGCCCTCACGCTCATTGAGTCTTCTCATTTACACCGGCGCTCTCTATGGTTTTCAGCGCAGGCGCAGAGCCCGGTGCAGGCGGGGCTGCTCTCGGAGGTGTGCGAGTGGACCATGGAGAAGGGTAGGCGTAGAGCGG